TAATCAGTACGTTTCTCGTCACTTTAAACTTAACTACTTTTATAATACACGCTATAAATCACAGAGATTCACAGCCTCAATAACTTTGCGTTCTACGAGCGCAAAACACTAGCTTGAAATAGAATCGTAAATTACCCTGAACTCTCTTCATTCAATTCCCGCAGGCTTTTCTGCCATCCTCATATACTAACTAAGGGGGCGTCTCGAATACAGTCGGGCTTCCCCGATCATTCATGATCATTCGAGAAATTCATCACGTGTCGCCAGCGTGACGTGACTTCCGCTGTCGTAGCACTATGCATAAACATTTTATAAAATGTGTTCAAAATATTTGTCTCTACTGGAAAGCAATACGTTAATCAAAATACCAGCGGAAATTTAATAATATGAAAAGTAAAAGGCACCTCACTTATTATTCTTAGTTATTATTAATCCACCATCGATAACAAAGTACTTTTTCTGACTGTGCCCCTCCCTCCTTACCCTTCTACTAAAACAAAACAAAAAATAAACAAGAAAAAACAGCTGTGTGACGTTGCTGGTTGAGGTAACATGTAGAAACTATAACCTCACCTATTTGGAATGAGAATAATCTGTCACGTGACGAGCGCTTGGTGCTCTGGGTATATGCGACGTCTCTTTTCGAACACTAATAAGTGTTGTATTTAAATAGTCTGTGGTAGTATCCCAGAATTTTTGGCTTTTCAATTTTAGTTGAATTTGATATCAAAGATTTAAAACCGGAAAAATTGGCAAGGTAAAACAAACTTGTAGGAGAAGCTGCAAAAATCCAGTTAAAAGCATGTGCATTATGAATGATAAACTCGTAACGTTTTTAAGTGCGCTCATTAAAGCATTTTGTTTAAATTCTTCAAAGAAGGTCAAAAGATTTATTAGTGATATTCAAACTCCACGTCTGTCCTCGGAGCATATCGTGTCGGATTCAACAGCCAGCATTTAACTAGTCACTAAAATATTTTATCATGTTATACTAGTTTGTGTTATTGTTATACTATATTATTAGTATACAGACATTTTCAATATGATATAGATGATACATACATAATAACACTAACATGCTTCTAAAATACTTAAGTAATATGTTTTTGATTATATAATTCATACTAAATTAGTTTTCTTCGTTATTTTTGGAATGTTACTTTCATTAGACATTCAGCAATTGATTTTATCTTTGTGACAGCACTGTTTAGATTTTACGGTTCGTAGCGATTAGTGATAATAACTTTCGAGTTTGAATGTTAATTGCAAACGACACCGCCTTAACGTCTGATGTACGTGTTTTGGCGTTTAACTTTTATAGATATTTTGTACACAGTTTGTAAAGATTAATCATGGGGTAAGTAGGCCAAAGGCAGAGGTGTTAGTCCAATGCCAGTAACATAAATAATTCTTCCAACCCTCCTGAACAATAACATTATTTCCAAATCCATTATAGCAAGTGAGAAAGTTGATATGTGAAAAGATATTCCAGGACCTTTGGCTAATAGGGTCAATTCTTTATCTAACTAGGCTATCAAAGAGTACAAGATATCCCTGACTCCTCTCACTAACAAAGTTTTTTTGTCTAGGAGAATATAACTTCACACTACTTTGTGTTGCTGTGGTCAAATAAATAGTGTTAATTTACGACCACCCAATCTCAGAACCACACACATATATATATATATATATATATATTATTACTACATGAAGTTCATATTGATAATCAATGAAAGTGTACTTTCTAAGAAACATTACTGTAGGCAAAAAAGAAACTTTGAGTCTTGGCTAACAGGGCCAATGCTCTATCCACCTGAGCTATCCCAGAGTACAAGTCATCCCTGTCTCTCTACACCCATAATGCCCTGTTTCTTATAGAAAAATAGAAATGATTACTGCAAGTAAAAACCCAGGTTGACTAATGGAGGGTATAAGGGATAAAACTTTTTAAAAAGCATTATATATGTAAAAAGTTTAAAGTGACTGCTATGACAAGAGACATAGAATATTAAGAGAGTTGGTCAAAAAGGTAATTAGGAAATCAAAAAAAAATTATGAAAAAAGGTTCCATGGACAATTTGACTAACTTTTGATATTGTACTGTAAATATCACAGAATAGGTCACTTGGGGTGACATTCATGGCATGAAAATAGTATCCCTCCTATTCTCCAAACCCAATTATTCATGTACTACATTTCCACTGAGTGAATGTTGGTCAAGAGCTGTGACATGTTGAATACATAATGAAGTCTGGTTGTGTCAAAAGAATTAAATCTTTTATTTGTTAGTTCCTAATTGTTTTGTTCATGTATATAGCATACATTAAGATGATATAAATGTACATACTATTTGGTGTTATTATCACAGCTTCAGTAATAAGTAGATAATCTAGCTTTTCATGGTGCTATTTTATTTTGGAAAATATTTTAAATTATTAGTATTTGTAAAATAAAGAGTAAATTGTAGATTATTTTATTTATGTTTTATAGTTTTGTTGAAGTTTTAGTTCTACAAATATATTCCTCATTTAAAACCTGTAAGGATTATTAAGAATAACAAAATAAAAACTGTAGACTGATTCTGTAAAAACTGATAATAAGCTTAATAATTTGAATATTCAGTAAACAGAAACCTTAACATGAGAAACATTTAGTCTCACATCTGTGATTACTTGTTCTTCCATGAATGCTCAGTTCTAGGTTCCATTCTGAATCAAAAAACTGCTTTGTTTAATGTTGGTTTGCATGAGAAATAATTTCAAATGCATTAATTTACAACAAATAACATTTCTATGTTTTAATAACAGAGCTGGCCCAAGGAAAAATTGTTGTCTGCGTGAACTTTGTATTTGGTGCCCCTGCTCCTGTAAAGTTGACAAGAACTGCTGATTACAATACTGATTTTGGCAACTTTTGTGGAAGCACAAGTTGCTCACCCCAACGGTTGACCCTGTTTGATAATGAAGTAGTTTGCATGTTAAGAAAATTAAGCTGAAGTATCCTGTGTTATAGGCTTTATTACTTTGTAAATGTTACAATTTAATACGAGATTGTGACTCTCCAAATACTTGCAATATAGACTTACCAAATGATCAACTTTGACATTAAGATTTAGTTTTAACCTAAGAATGCCAGATGGTATTGAAGATTATGTAATATTTTGGAAATGTGGTGTGAGAATGAAGCTCAAACTGTTGGCGTCTAAAGTAACTGTTACTTTACGAAATGTAAACATTGTCAAATGTTTGACAGGTCATATGTATAGAAGTCATGATTAACTTCTCAGAAATTATAGTTTGGTGTTTGTATTTATGGTTAACTATATAACAGCTATGAATTAGGGGTTCATTCATCGGTATAATGATAAGCAATCAAAAATTGATATAATTAATAATAATATATATATTTGAAAAAGTAAGATAATTTAGCTTGTTAGTACTTTCAGTTGTATCATCCAGTGGTTAGCTTTATAAATTTGGGCCTTCATAGACATAAAAAGCTTTCCTATTAGTTATCACTTGTTCATAAAGGATACGATAATTCGGTGGGGTGATAATTTACTTATTAGTTAATTAAAAATGTTAAAACACAAAAAGTTGAAAGTTATAGTTTATAGATAAAAGCAGCATAACTTTTTCTATTCACATTTCTAATAATTAAAAAAATATCTTGGTAATGAAACTTTGATTTTTTTTATTAACTAGTCTTACAGAAAAAGGTAAAATTATTTTCTTTTCCTGCAGATAAAAATGTAAAAGATAACACACTGATGTAACCATGGAAATATTAGACACCAAAGTTAAACCCTTATCTGATGAGGAACAGATTACTTTGTTGGATGTTAAGTTGGTGAAATGTGAAGATGATACTATAAAAACATCATCTAATAGTAAGTTCAATTTCATAATTTTTAAATATTCTATTCTTTCTGGACGATTTTTCTTTCTTACTATTTTTTTTTTAATTTCCTAGCTATGTTCCAAATACAAAATCCAGTGACAAATCTCTGTGAAGTAATTATATCCATTTTATATGTTTTGCATAAGGCAACCATAATTTAAATAATTTAGTATAATGGAGTGGGTCAGGACTCCACAAATTTCTAAAATTTTAGAAACCTAGTAAATTTCCTACTAGCCAGCTGTAATTGGGCCTAATTTGTGCTCTGTGATAGCCGGCATACAGTGAGATTTGATTTCCATGTCAAAAGCGATGAACATCAGCTGAGTGACACTGTAGAGATTTTTTTTTTTTCTGTCACTGTTCTGCACATGCAAACCATGTTAATTGACATTAACTGGAAATAAATGACATGTTTGTTGATCATGTTTTAGCAAATTATACTGTGAAAAACATGATAAATGAATTTTGTAGTGCAAACATAGATTAAGTAATATTATGTGACCTCAAATCATTTAAATTACATGAGCTAGGATCACAAGAAATTTCTAAAACATTTTTTTCATTTAAGTTTTATTATGTAACCTAATAAGTTTTAATTTTTACATTTTAGTTAATTTTGTTAAAAAATATATAACAATAAATAAAAAATACACATGAAAAAATAATAATTTTAGTACTTATCTTAGCTATAGGCCTATATGTACTTACAACATACTTGAATAAGGCTTCTTTTTTTTTCTCACACTGTTAGTTGTCCACAAAATAATACCTGTTGTTTTCAGATATGTATTTTAGAACATGAAATATATTTGGCACTAGAATAGAATGTCTCAAAACTACTATAATTTAAATGGCTTTCTAGCTAAACTATAAATAGGTTGACAAATTCCATTAGCTGTTCAGAGCTCAAAAAGCACTATAACACACAATGGATGTTAAGCAAAGTGTGGCAGGCAAAATGAAATAACCATGTAAAAAGTCTTGTAAAGAAAGATATTTTGTTTCTATTGACTATAAATATGTCCAATAGCAATGTCAGAGAAAATTATAAACATGTTTTAAAAGAGAGAGAAAGATGGGAAGGTATGTCATGCAGATGTGAAAAAATACACTGGTATCTCAGTAAAGCAAGATTTGATGTTCACATTTTATATTCTGGCATTTTAGTATTATATGTATTTCTTAAATACCCATGCAATGCAAGAAAGAAAACCAAAATTAGGAATTTGGAGTGTAGATGTGTCACACAACAAAGAGAAGTTAATATTGAAAATACAGAGTGGTCCAAAATTATTTTTAGTATTTTAAAATTTAATAATTAAATAGCTAAAGAAATACAGTCATGCAGTTTTCAACTTCTTGCAACCTAACTCAAATAGTTTTTACTGACATGTTTTTTCTCACTCCAGTGAGTGGTGTTACCCCGTAAAATGGCAACCATGCAAGAAAAGACTCATTGCATTGTTTGGCTTGCAGGGTGGGTCTATTCTGTGGCCTCCACATTCACTGGACTTCTTTCTTTTAGTTATGTTAAGGACCATGTATTGCACACCTATAGCAAACATCATGGAGCTAATGACCAGGATAAAAGATGCCATTGCTACTGTAACTGTGAATATGTTGCAGTAAATGTAGACTGAAATCAAATATTAGTTAGACTTGCTGAAAACCACTAATAGTGCACATGTAGAAGTCTACTGATGTTTGAGTTATGCTACAAGATGTTGAAAACTGCATGGTTGTATTTCTTTAGTTATTTAATTATTAAATTTTAAAATAGGAAAAATAATTTTCTATCACCCTGTTTTCCATTTGAAATTAAGAGTTAGATAATATAAAAATTTGAATTAACAGCTACATTTCAATAAGATGCTTATTGATATACATTGAAAATAAAGTAGTTTAATTAAATTTTGAATTTAACTGCTAAAAGTAAAGACAAGCACACTTTGAGCCTATCATAGGGTTGATTAGAAAAAATGATCAAATATGGGAAATTTTTAGATAAAGATTCTCACTTTTCCACAGAACAGACAGCCAGAATCCTACATTAAAAAAATGGTGGATGGATTAGTGTAGAGAAAGAAATGAAAAAAGATGAGCTCCATTCTGAGAATATTTAAATAACAAAGACTAAAGGCTGACTTTGAGGGTATTTATTTTATTATAGTTTAGTGGATGGGACAGCTTGCTTCATATTTAGACGTTATGACTTCAAGGTAGGGTCTAACAAACTTTGAAAGAGAGATGGTACAAAGATTTAGCTGCCAGGCACATCTGTAACCAAAATGTGTCAAGAGCAAAGTCTCCAAGATGATATCAGCATGGAGTGCAACTGCTACCGGTATAATTAACATCACTGACAAGAATATCATCACAGGTTAACTTGGCTACTGCACAGTGAACCTAAATATGAAGCAAAACAAAGTCAGCAGCAAAGTATTGACAAAGTTTAATGTTACTAATGTCAGAGAACACAATGTGATGTCATTACTTGGGATACCATGGTTGAGTTGAAAAATCATAAACCTTGGACTTTGAAATAGCTGACCATATACAATTCAATATACATATGGAGATTACAAAGAAGGTGACCAAACCAATCTTTGGTACAAATAGTTTGAGAGAATAAAATAACTAATCTCAGTGATAAGGGAGGGAAGTAGAGAAAGAAAAAATATTTAGGTCTTGACAAAAGAAAAACATCAAATTAATGATAGCTGAATTAAATTTTATCCTTTGAGGGTTAAGTTTTTAAAATTGTACTAACACTTAGCTAAAGATAGTTTACACCTTATAATCTGTCACAATAAGGATTTTGTGATGTGACTATACAAATTGTGTCAAATCTGTTTTAACAGATGTATATATTATTTATACCTCTAGTAACAGGGTAAACTGTTGTTTTAGAAAAAGGATCTTCAAGTCCCACTATTGAGTTTGGTGTAGCAAAAGAGGAACAAGCAGAGAACTACATTTATAATGAGGTAACAAAAACAATATGGTGATTTTTTTAGATCAAAAACATAAAATGTTTTGTTGGCAAAAACGACTACATAAATGTACTATTAACACAACGTTTTGGCAGTATTATATGCTTGATGATAGTGTTTTGAAATTATTTGCAAATGATCTGTTCAGTGTTGACAGTGTTTGTTTTTACAATTAACAGAAAGTAAGAAAAAAATAATTAGATACAACTAAGATACAATTTAACTGTTTCAAATCATCTTTAATGGTGATTTCCATGAAATTTTATTAAATTGTAATGCTTGTGTCTGGTTTATGATTGACATTTTAGTAAAAACATCCTATAAACATAATAAACTGACATAGAGTATTTTTCTGTGTCTATTCAAAAATTACAATTAAAGATTATTTCCTGAATCTAAATAGAGTTTCAAAAACTATAACATGTTAACCATGTAATTACAAGATTTGTGTTAAAGATTACTTTGAATATGTGCTAGATTCAACAGGCATTATTTGAAGAATTGTAGTGATATTGTTTTATGTAATAAAGTAGGTTTAGAAAAACGACTAACATACGCTACACATATGAAGTACAATATTTCTTCCCATTTACCTTGAAATTATCTATTACCAAGGTCAGTGGAGTAACTGCAAAATATGGGCCCCCTATAATTGTAGTTATGATTTGCCCCCTCCCCCCCAACAAGTGCAAGGGCTGAGGGGCATACTTACACCATTGACTGTGGTTGAGGAATTTATACAAATAAATTAGTTGTAGCTAGTTGGTAGTATAGAAATTTTGAGAAGGAAATTTGTAAATCAGACTTGCGAGTTTGTTTGTTATTGATTTGTTAATGTGTTCTTTTCCTCTCAGAACACTTTTGTCACAGTGAACACTGAGCCGCCCAGAGAGTTTAAACAAGATGATGTTATTTCCAAGTTTGATGAAAATTATGATAGTTATACAGACAATTCTAGAAATGATGTTATAGATGTGAAGAAAGAAAATGATTTGCAAAAAATTAATTCTCGGTTAAAAGGTACATCTGGTAAGTGCATCCCTGTAACTGTATATTAATTAGTGTTAAATCAAAAAATCTACTTTACAGTAAATTAAGTTCTAGTAATGACTTAAAATTTAAAGAAAATCAACTTCATGATGCAAAATTTGCTTCACACAGTACTTAGATTAAACATCTCTTTGGGAGCTTGTAAGCTTTTACATTTTATGAATTGAAGTAAATTTCAAACAAATGCTTACCTCAGAAATATGAAAATTCTTTCCTCGTTGAGTTGCTTTCATGCTGTTAATAACCATGTGACTCAATTTTTTAATGTCCTTGAAACAATAAAAAAATAACACACAGTATTATGTAGTACAACAAAAATAATATGTTAAAAAAGTTTCTGTGTTAACAAGTTAGGTGGTTGTCTCCTAATGAAAGGACACTGCTAGTAAACTCAAAAATGTGTTTAGTATTACATGGAATATTTGGACAAAGTGTAATGTTGTTATCACAATGGTCTACCTTGTAATAATTAGTGGAGGTGAAAGTAAAAAGTGATTATGGATTCAAGGAAGTTCAGTTATGGCTAAACTGAAGTCAGTTATACATCACCTTAGTTCAGTGATACTATATTGTAAGCCTGATCGAACTTTTGATTAATAATGACTACTTATGTACACTTCCAATATGAATGTTTATTGATTGTTGTATATTTTGCATTAAAATTGTTCTGACCTATAAAATACATCAGAAGACACACACGCTGGGCTAAAACCATACAGCTGTATAGTGTGTGTGTAGAAAGAGAGCAGTAATATTCACTAAAGAAACATGAAAAGGTGCATACTGCAGGAACTTAGTTCTGTCGATCATAGTCAGGATTTTTTTCCAGAAGAAACTTTTCATCCATGTTTTATTAGAACAACTTGCTCCTCTAATGATCCCATTAATGATCAAGTAAAACTTTTACTGGTTTGTTAATAAAATTTAATAGTTTACTCTGCATCTCAATTTCACTGACTAACTAGTAGTGTTAATGATGACTGCAGGTTCAGGCTGCACAAGCTACATAGGTTACAGTGAAATATCATTGCTAATTTGTTTATTATCTGCATGTTTGATAACCTTTACCAAGTACCCCCACTTTGTGTTCATGGCATTAAATACAAAAATGTTAAACAACTAATACACAAATATTTATCATGGCAATTTTATGTATTTCTTATACATACAAATTTTATAGTAAAGAAATGTATAGTAAAAGTTATAAGTGTCAATTTTGTTACAATACCCTTATCTGAAACATAAGATCTTTTAGACATTAAATTTAAAGCTTCATTATAAATGTAGAATTTTAAGCCTATTGATTAATTATTTTTGAACATTATTTTGCTTATGGGAACAATTTCTTAATTACAATATATTTTAAAGAGAAGACAGTAGTTTGTAAAATGAGCCATCGTTTTTTTTTCGTAATATTTATTTTTCAGTGTTACGATTGTTAAACAAAACTTGTTCCCAATAGTTTTAGCAGTTTATTTTTCTTCGGCATTACATCTCTTTAAACAGAAACTACCCTCGTACATACATGGTGTATTCATAAATTAATATATTTGTTTCTATCTTATTTCAACAGGAAAAGCTTCCTCAACAAACAGAAAATTCTCTGACTCCCAGAAACCATGCAGTGTTGATGTTTTTGGCAAAACATTTTCAAAGGAAAGTAATTTAAAAGAATTTCCATTTCCTTACAGTGAAGTTAAATCATATAATTGTGTTTTTTGTGGCAAAGAATTTAGTACAAAAGGTGGCCTTAAAAGGCATGAGAAGATCCACACTGGGCAGAAACCATATAGTTGTGTAGTGTGTGGCAAAGAATTTGGAACAAATTGTTTCCTAAAAAGACATGAGAAAATACACACTGGAGAGAAACCATACAGTTGTATGGTGTGTGGCAAAGAATTTGGAAGAAACTGTTATCTAAAAGAGCATTTAAGGATACACACTGGGGAGAAACCATATAGTTGTATGATATGTGGTAAAGAATGTGGAACAAACACTAACTTGAAAAAACATGAGAGGACACACACTGAGGATAAACCACACAGTTGTGTAGTGTGTGGAAAAGAATTTAGAACAAATAGTCACTTAAAAATACATCTAAGGATTCACACTGGGGAAAAACCATATATTTGTGCAGTATGTGGCAAAGAATTTGGAACGAACAGTAACCTGAAAATACATCAGAGGATACACACAGGAGAAAAACCATATAGTTGTGTTGTATGTGGAAAAGAATTTGGAAGAAATTGTGGATTAAAAATGCATGAAAGGATACACACTGGAGAAAAACCTTTCAGTTGTGTAGTGTGTGGTAAAACATTTGGAAGAAATTACGAGTTAAAAGCACACGAGAAGATACACAGTGGTGAGAAACCCTATAGTTGTGTAGTTTGTGCAAAAGAATTTGGAAGAAATTGTGACTTAAAAGCACATAAGAGGATACATACTGGTGAGAAGCCTTACAGTTGTGTAGTTTGTGCAAAAGAATTTGGAAGAAATAGTGACTTAATAGCACATGAGAGGATTCATACTGGTGAGAAACCTTATTGTTGTGTAGTTTGTGCAAAAGACTTTGGAAGATATTGTGACTTAAAAAAACATGAGAAGATACACAGTGGAAGAAATCATAGAGTTGTGTAGTGTATGTGAAAGGTAGTTTGAAAGAAATTTTAATTTAACTAAGTGAAAAACACACTGAGGGGTATAGAGTATGCCTTGTTTTAACTTTTAGGTAATCTAATAATTGTCATTTGATGAATCTTTCATGAAATGTAAATGTCCATTTAGTTGCTATTTAGTGATCTTAGTTTCAGTGGTTTTCTTCTTTAAACTTGTACACGTGCTGTTTCAATCGGAGATAAACATTATATGTTTTGTAATAGTGCTGGAAGTAGCTCTTACTTACTTTTTTTTGTGAGACCTGTAGTATGTTAGTTTTTGACAAAAATTAAAAAACATGATACATGTTTGAGACTTGTTGGTAATAAATTTCAACATTAAACAAACCACACAGTCCACTTGTTTTAAAATAATATATTAAAAACAAATCAAATCCATATACAAATGTTCATTACAATGTTAATTACTACAGTTGTATCCAGAGCTTTAAATAATTCTCTTTTTCATAAAAGTCCACATAAGCTGGTTCAGTTATTTTATAACACAACTGACAAGACAAATTATTCTTTTCTACTTTGTTATTACAATATGGTTTGTGATAATTTCACTTCAAGAATTGCCACTATAACTTCTTTGTGGCTAAACTCACAATAGCATAGTCTAGATCTAGCTCTAGAGTTAAATTTTTAACATGTATTTATACCCCAACAGAGGTTTAGAATGTTCCACACACTACTAGATATTATGATCCAATAATACTCAATTACAACAATGAGAAAAACTGATGAAGTAATATAACAATTGTCAATTGGCAACAAATGATTTGTAAACAGTTACCTAAGCAAGCTTGCCATAAACTATCACTTCTAACAATAACTAAATATAACACTCACATTAAACTTAACATTGAAACAGTCACATATATCTAACAATGGCTATCTACTAGTTGCTTGCCATAAACTATCACTTCTAACAATAACTAAAAATAACACAAACATTAAACTTAAAATTGAAACAGTCACTTATATCTAACAATGGCTATCTACTAGTTGCCCACCTTGTATCCAACAAAGTCTACCACAGAATAGCTGATGTAGCACTTGGATGGTCTAATGGTCAGACCTGCTGCCCTCTCAGTTTCTTTAGGTGGTTCCTCCATCTGGCGGTGTGGGTCAGAATGTTATCCTCTTAAACTGGTAGCACCTGTTCGGTGTTCCAATAACTGTATTCTTTTTAGATTCTGTCTCCATTGGGATCTGACAATAATCTTTACTGGGGTCGATCTTGGTAAAGAACTTGGCCCCATATAGTTTTGCCATGATAGCCTCTGGGTTGGCCATAAGTTTGGAGTCAAATTTCATCATGAGGTTCATCTTCCAGAAATTTATGCAGAAGTAGTTTGAGCCATTCCTCTTCTTCTTGATTACTTCTATGGAACAGTAGTATGAATTCGACGGCTAACTGATGCTGGCTTCTAACATTTCTCCAACTTATTGCTTGATGAGGTCTTTCCTTGCATAGGGAATCTAGTAGGGCTTCACCTTGACTGGATCCCTGGTCATGGTTTCAATCTTGTGTTGCACAAGGTCTGTCTTGACTAATTTAGCTGTGAAGACACCTGTATACTACCACAGTAGATCTTGTAGTTCTTTCTTCTGCTTGCCAGTCAACTCTTCACTGATGTTGATGTCATTGTACATCTCATCTTCACCCAGTGGTTTTAGGTCTTCGTCTTCTATGATAAAGTCACTGTCTTCTGGTTCTGCATCTATGAAAACTACACTAATGTCCATCTGTGCCTTAATAGCTGTACTCATTAGGTCTTCTTCCGTATTTAAGTACCTCTTCAACAGATTGGTGTGGTAAATCTTGGTCTTCCCATCCACTATGACCTTCTATTCCTTTCTGTTGACCATTTTCAAAGGTCCTTTCTGTTGACCACTTTTAAAGGTCCTTTCTACTGCAGGGTGAATTTGTTATTGTCTGTGGTTAGCAGAACTAAGACCTTCTGTCTGACCTTGAAATATCGATCATTGGCCTTCATGTTATAGAAGTGCTTCTGAATGCCTTGAGCAAGTTGACAGGGTGAGAGAGTCAAAGAGCATGCTGAAGAAGATGTGCTGAGAGAGACCACGTAACTGGGACAGGTACCTGCAGGCAGTATTATCTGCTTACTGAGATGTCCCACAAGTGAGTACAGGACTTTTACCTTTTGAATTACTGTATGAAAGAACAATACAAAGTCTGATGCAGATATTGAAAGAACTGTAGACAGGAGAAGAAGAGTCAGAAGTAAAGAACACTTACCAGGACATGTTAGACCTCAGAAGCTGACTGGAAGAGAAAAGTCCTTTACGTCTGGGATTTTATGGATTGGTAAAAGAGTTGCCTAGTCCGATGCGTCTGTACACAGCTTGCATCACTTCTAAGGTAAACTGGGTCCCTCTGTCACTCAAGACTTCTTATGGAAAGCTTACTCTGCAGAACATTTCCAGGAAGGTTTCTATTAGTCTCTCTTTCTCTAGCTTTGACAGTACTATGTCTTCTGGGTAATGTGTTGCATAGTTGATTACTGTCAGCATGTACTGACGGCCCTTGTCAGATACATTTGCTAGTGTTCTAATCAAGTCCACAGCTACTCTGCGGAATGGCTCTTCTATGAGAAGCCTCTCACCCAGTGAGACCTTGGCAACCTTCCCTCTAGGTACTATCCTGTGGCAGATATCACATGACCTGCAGAATCTGGTCACATCTCTGATGAACCCCAGCCAGTGGAAGTTGCTGGTGATTCTTTCTACCATCTTCTTCACTCCAAGGTGTCCTCCCACAATTGACTCATGAGCCACCTTCATCACTTGAGTCTGTTGGTTCTATCATCTGTTTAACTTCTCCAGTAGAACCACCTTGATAGATCTGGTACAGCACTCCCTTCTGGTTTTCTATTCTGTAGATCCCTTGGTATTGTGCTCAACTTTTTCTTGGGCACTGTTTCAAATTTTCTGCAGTGAAGGGTCTTTCTTCTGTGCTTCCTTCAGTTCCCATAGACCTGCATTCCAAAGTCACCTTTCAAGACTCGCATGGGCTTGATGTGTTGCTTACTTTTCTTCTCTTGAGCCCTTGTGGTGACTACAGATGTCTCATCAGTCTCCTTTCTGTCTGGTCCCTCCAAACTTCTACTGCTTGGTATAATGCCAATCATCAAGTTGTAGATGAGTGCCTTCATATACATGGCCTCAAGGTCTCCCATATAGTATGGAGTTTCCAGCTTTATTTTTGCTGTTGGAAACTTTCTCACTGTCCCATCAATCAGTATACACAGATGTGCCTTGCCCATCAGATATTAGACTGATTCTCACTGCTGCACCCAGTATCTCATAGTACTTTCACTGACATAGCCTTCATTTACTGGTATGCTGTGGTATGTTGGCACCTCTTGATGTTTGTCACATGCTCATTTCACCACTGGCACTGTTGACCCATTCACTAACTTCACTGACCATCAATCATGCATTGTTTAATCATGGTGATATCACTTCCTTCTTGTAGTGAATCTGACGAATTGTCTTCATTCCGTTTCTTCTCTATTTTTGTTTCCTGCCAGCACCATCTTTTTTATGTTGAAATTTCTTCTACTGCTTATTGGTGATAAACTTTCACTCACTCACAATGTGCCCCATTTTATAACAAGCATAGCATCTCTTCTCCCTTTTGTCTGTTGACTTCTTGTCACCTTTGGTGGCATCCTGCTTCTGGTCAGCCACCCCTTTGTTTTGACTTTGGACTTGAAATACAAAGTTGAAAAACTTACCAAAACACAGTAAATAAATGTGTGCCTGGCCAGGAATAGAAACTAATGTTAATGAACAATACAATATATAAATCAAGGTTAATGAGTGTTTCAATAACTAAAGGAATCAGGAAAAAGAAACAAAGAAAAACCTAATTCCAAAATAAGTATTTCGTAAACTCCAAAATCACTAATATCGTCAAGTAACAAGCAGCAATAATTCACTAATTATCTTATGACTCGGTTTATGAAGCTTATGACAGGGTATTTATTCACTCCGTTAGATCACGAGAGTACATTTCATGTGATATCAATTTACATAATAGTATACAATATTAATAATATCTGTACATTATTACTAGGGAAGCTAGTGTCAGTTTCATAATGCATACATATTTATTCAAGATAAATATGTTTAGCTAGAAGGTGAGTTAGTGTTTTAATGTAACTAAAAATTCATAGTTAAACTAAATGATAAACGAACCAGAAACAAAACCATATAAAACTATCTCACACTAAACTATAGATAAAATTAATATTGGTTAAACAGCCTTCCCTAAGCTATTGGAAAGTTACTTGGGCATTAGTAAGTTCAAACAACATACTTAAAAAAAACGACTGAAGAGTCTACAGTTGCTGAATTTTCTATTTATCTCCTTTCTTAAACTCATCTTGCTAATATACAGTTCTTAGATCTAAGGAGCTGAACTATATAGTGCAATTGAAGATAATTCTGCATCTATTCTGTTTTCTAGCTTTCAGTTAAAACTTAAAATTTCATTAAGTTTTTTTATCCATAGATGTTATTTTCTACATGTCCACTTAATGTTCAGTGGCAGTTATAGGTTGGCTGGTCTTAAATTTCTTTGTAACTGATTTGGACCATTCCAGTTCAACTACTTTATCTAAGCCTGAATAAAATGTTATCCACATAATTTCTCTTGCCATGCTGGATGTTACACTAGGTTTGGATATTTCACAAGAGTAAGAAAAATAATCTTATTTGCAAGATAAATTTGCAATCATTTTGTTTGGATGAATAAAAATTGTCTAACATGACTTCAAATGGTAAGACATCACCAAGAAACTTACTCAAAATTCAAAAAAGAGAGATGATCTCATCCACATGTAATAAACATCAGCAGCTATACCTAAACGGGAACACCTAATAGCTTGTTTGATTGATGCATCATAATAAACATTGTGTTGCAGGAGCTTAACTTCATACTGTCATAGGTTAAATGTTTCTTACCAAACCCAATTTTTTCAGAAAATTGCAGCTGTCTTGGTGGCATTATAAGCATAGAATGTTATCCTGAAGTAGGAGAATTCATAGCAGGAATACTAGACTAACTAAAATTTGAAGGCTTTTTAGGAGTTTGTCTTTTGAGGAAGACAGGATGAAGTGCTTTATGAAAAAAACTGAGGGAATTAAGAGGATGCTTTGTTAGCAAAACTTGTAATAGTGAAAATGATTTTTTATGTTTCTGTTGGACAAGGGCTTCAACATTCTTAACAGCATTATTTAAAAATTTGTCTTATGCCTAAACTAATTTCTTCAGTTCTAATTCACGTTTATGAAGCAAAAAACTAACATCAATTTCCCACTCCCCAAAGGTTTTAGCATCTAAACTCGGTATGACTTCTAGCTAAACTTCTAGTGATCCAAAGACTATATGGTATTAATTAGCTTTTGGCAGAAGAACATTAAAAACCAATTCAGGGTCAATATAATTCGTTAAAAATTTAAAGTTACTAAGAGTGCAATCCTTGGGTAGATTATCAATTAAAATACTTCTTTGTTTCAAGGAAGTCATTGTCATGTGCTAAAACTGCAAACAGTTCTGGAAAGCATAACCTTATGTTAAAGTTATGCCTTGTGTTCATGACTCAGTTATGACGCATAGCATTCATTTGAAGTAACCCTAAAATTAAGTGTTTAAAAATTGACACAAGTTATTTTTTGGCAATCGTACCTGAAACCTAAATTAAGTTAGGCTCAGTTCCAACAAAGAGTTTATAGTATATACCTATACACACTAGCCACTTACCAAAAGACAGTAATCTGCCAATAATTATAATTCCATATAATGACAAAATTAATTTTAGATATAAAACTCGATGCAAAAAGTAGTCAAGATTAATTAGTTTTAGCTACCACTTGAAGAAGAAATTATAAGACTGGGTGCTTTTACTAAATATGATAAATGTACAATACTAATATCTTAAAGAAATTGATTGGATAGAAGGCAGAAATGTTGATATAAATAAGGAAATAGTAGTTATCAGTACCACAATGAAGTGCAACTTACAACAGATTCGATTTACTACATAGAAATATAGAACAGAGCCTACCAGATGCTTGGAAATGGATAATGCATTAAAGACAAGGGTGATCCTTCAGGGGTTTTGGTAAGAATTTGATAAAGGCATCAGACCATATTTCAGGGATATTATCTGTTGCCTAACTACATTGATCATCCAACACTAATGTTAAGAAGTTAGCTTCTGTTAGGTTTTAATGGTAGAGTTTTCTACACCATCCGGACCAGGAGTTCTTTCTTCAGATGTATTTATGGTTCTATTGTTTTAATCCAGCTAAAGGTGGCTAACATGGCAGCTAGTTTTTGTGGTTCAAGTAGCAATTGTTGTAGCTTGAGCCTCTCCTGCATGTCACCATGGTCACATTTGCTAATGTATCTGAGCATGAAGACCTTTCCTCGTTCTTCATTTGTACAGAGTTGATACCATCAACTTCATAAATGACTGACATTGCCATGTTTTTATTTCCTGTGAGAACTATAAGATTACAGAGGTATCACAATGAAATGTTTGTGAGATTAGACTTTCTGCATAGATCATTTCGTTACGTGTTTCGAAATTCGGTCACCTATAGAGAGCAAAAACTATATTTGATGCAATCCTTCTCTTTTCTGACAGGTTTTGTTTTATCCATATGAACTCAGCATGGGATTGGTTGCATGCTTTTCCAGGCTTTATCATGATCACTATTCCAGCAATGTGTTCATGCATATCTACACATGAGATGAGCACTGCAGATATTATATCCCCTATGTCAGGTATAACACTCAAGGTGGAATTAACAAAAACAGGATGTACACAGGAGTCTGTCACCTCGCTGTTCAATGATTCTTGTTTAGCAGTATAAGTTTGATGGCTATACTGTACAGACCAGAACATAAACCTTTGTCATTAGTGTCTTCATTTGCACCCCCAAATGGAATGTCTTGCATTTAAGTCTCCTACTGCTAAATTTATAAAAGTGTTATCAGAGAATTCAGATTGAAACATTCAATCTGCACATGATTCATGTGTAAACACTGTTAACCCAGAATTGTGTGGGTAACTTTGGGTGAGCTATCTGGATGGTTTCTTGCAGTGGTGACTGTTTCGACGTAAACTGTCATGTAGTTCATAATAGATGTTGCTGCCATGTCGACCTGCAATGGCTATTCCCAGCCTCTGGGTCAGCATGGAATATGAAGTTAAAACCAGTGATTATGAACTACTCAGGATATAAAGGTTTTTCTCTTGAAAAAGTATGATGTCATAAAAGGCAGTATTTGATACCCCTGGCATTGAAGTAACCTGTGAGACTGACAGTTTCTGATTCACTTTTGTATGCATGCATTACTTAAAAGCTCGATGTTTAGACCTTCGTTTCCCTTTTCTCTTTCTGGACAGCTGTGGTCCCCTGCAGAGTGCTTTACCTGGGTACTGTTTTTATTAAGTATATTTGTTTGTAGGCAGTATATTAACAACTCACTGTTTAGTACCCCATTCCTAGACCTGACTACCCTAACAAAACAGGTGAGTGATATTGAGCCAGTGGCCTACATTGGCCAATAAAGAATATAGATACCCTCTCACCATCGAGAAACCTTCTTGGCACATGACCTTATATGAATCAGCCCTGCTGATAACCAGTAACTAAACATCTCATGCTATTTCTACCCTCTATTAACAAATCATTTTCTCTGCTTGATGACTCATCAACCTATCCAGTATATATGGCATGAGTACAGCTTGCATACCTAAGTAGTGTTGGCCATTGATCCCACATCAAAAGATTCATCCATCCTGATTCTGCACAAAACTAGGCTCCAGGTAGTTAAAACTGAAATTGATCTTACCAACAGATAGCCCTTGTTTCAGTATGATGCCTGTACTAAAACTATACTATGTTAAGCTAATTCAAACATTAGTGACAATTCTGTACAAGCACTTATAATTCAACTCACAGTAATTCTAATGTTATTTAAACTATCCCTACAGCTATAATAAATTCTGATTTATCACAAGTTCACATAGAAGTGTAGGTTTAAAGTTCTATTGTTGTGGTAAAGTAAAATTTCTATAAACTTCATGTATATACTGCCTATAAACAATGCGTCACTTGCACCTGTAGATTTCCTTGACTCCAGGCTTCATTGGGTCATGTGCTTGACCCACTGCTGCCATTACCATAACAACAGGTAAGAGAGCTACCCTACAAGTCATCCACATTTCCTTCACTAATATCTGGATGTTGTTTGAACAGCCCAGTTCCAGTAGAAGAGAAACTGTAAGTAACCTAACAATACGGACTACCTCCACTAGTTATGTCTGCCGTTTCTAGGCTGTTAAATGCAAGACATTTCCTAGGTATTGTCAGATTTGAAGATATAATTCATTTCTATCTTTTTTATAATATTATAGTATTTTTTCTGAATTTATGCTTTGTTTCACATAACACTTGGTACAGAGAGCTATTAAATTGGTTTCATTCTAAAGCTACTTTTATTGTTATTAGAAATGGATAATACCCATCACTGCACAGGGAGGATATTGCTCAATACAACACATTGTGTAAGGATGTCAACAACAGTGTCATTCAACTAGAGGTTACAGATGAAGGATATTGCTCAATACAACACTGTGTAAGGATGTCAACAACAGTGTCATTCAACTAGAGGTTACAGGCCCACCTATGTTGTAATAAGCATGACCAGTCAAGTGGGTAGTACAAGATGTCCTGGGTAAATAAGAGGTTTCTTGTAAATTAAAGAACACTACATTTGGTCTAGAATATCATCTAGTTCAACCTGTAACGTGGTCTTCAGTAAAGTCCTGTGATCCAGTAATAACAAGTAGATACAGTGTTTGTATTTAACGTTTAATAACGATTGTTCATTTTGCATTACATTCTGTGTCTAGTCTCTTTACTTCACTTTCAGTAAGATTTAGTACTACTTCATATTCTGAGCAATATGCTATTTGTTTAAAAAATGTAAATAGGTAAAGCATAAAAAACTAAATTACTTTAAAGCAACTAACATACCTCATCTATGCTATTTATTTATTTTATCATCATGGGTTTTTGGAAAGAACAAAAGGAAATACAAATCAACTTTTACTTTAGCCATTTTGTTAGATCCTAGATTTCAATTAGGATTTTTAAAACTACAACAGAATCAGTTGGATGGCAAAAGTATTGACAATGCTAATTTTAGAACAAAATGGGACTGAAGATACAGCAAAAGTAACAATGACCAATTTTCATCACTAGAACTACCATCTATTAAAAATGTACAGATGGAAACACTTCACTCATTCTGGGATTGCTACAGTGAAATATT